TACCTCTGGTGCAAATTACTGACCTCTGTCATCATTTTAAGTGGGGGAACTTGCACAATCGGTGGCTGACTAAATACTTTTTTGCCCCACTGTACTTGAGTCCCCAGCAGTGTGCCTGGATAATCGGTTCTCAGAAAAAGTACAGCAACACACACAGAAGCTCGATTCAGTGGATGTTAGAGATTTACACGTTAGATGATGTGCTTCTATGGCTGAAAAAAAGTACACAGAACATTTTATTTTTTACCATGGTTTTAGATTTAATTAAGTCAATAGTGAGTGTGCATCCCTTCAAAGGCAATTTTGCAGCTGTGGTTCCTGCTTATCACACTCAAAAAAAAAGTAGGGACATTTCATTTTGATGACAGCAACATGTCTCAAAAACAGAGCTATGTTTGCCCCTCTTTAGCTTCCCCTTTTCTTTTAACAACAGTACATAAATGTTTGGGTACTGAGGCAATCAGCTGCTGGACTTTTGGGAGAGGAATGTTGTCCCATTATTTTCTGATAGAGAGGTCTAGCTGCTCAACAGTCCAGCTGTATCCATTTGTTTCATCATGCAAATGCCACCAGATATTTTCAGTTGGCGAAAGGCTGCAGTATGTTGTTTCTGCAAGGCCTAGCCTGAAATTATCTGGATGAGAACATGTTGAATCCAAAACCTGTACTAACGTTTCACCATCGATGGCAAAGTTGAAAGAGTTTGAACTAAATTCTTTAAAAATTAATGAATTAACTAATTAATTAATTTTAAAGTCTTTAAAATTAAATTTGCAAATTACGATTAAATACGTATTAAATAATAATAAAAAAAAGAATGAAATTTAATTAAAATGTCAAAATTAAATTATTGACTAAATCAAATTAGTGACTTACACTGTTGCCAAATGGTGATTGAGAATATGCTGCTATCATAAACATGCTGCAAAATTTACAGTACTACAAGCTGATGTCCCTCATACAAAATGTTTTTAGTCATGCTAATGGAAATTAAACAGTCAGGATTTCAAAAGAAATCATGCTGAACACATTTAACAACAGCTATATTTAAAAGCATTTGTATTATGAAGTAGTCAGAGGGAAACTTTGCAGTGTGTTTGTAAGCGATGTCATATCACTGAAGCTGCATACAAAACAAAAAAACTGGCATTTTCTACAATTTTAACAGTGAATCAGTCTAAGATGATGCAGGGTGAAGTGGAACAAGAAGGACCTTCCACACTGAGGTGTAGATGAAGAGCTGCAGGCAACAGTCGGAATCCAACTTCTGAGCAAGGTAACCAGCTCCTTTGACTGTGCCCTGCTGTTTCACAGGCTCACGTTCAGCATAAAATCAGATCATAATGGTTCCCTGAATAAAGAAATAATGCCAATTGCTCTCTCCCTTTCTCATCAAAAAATTAGCAATTTCTTTTTGCTTCCCCTAGAATTGTGTAATTTCCAGCATTGAACCATTTAAGCTGTTTTATTAGGAGCAGCTAATCAGAGTTAAATGTCCAAATAGAGTGTTTTTACTCAGCTGTGTAGCTGCAAATTGGTTATGGGTTTAGTTTTGCAAAACTCTGCAGAATTTGTTATGGATAAAGTTACAGTAATAGCATCAGCCAACTACTGCCTGCAGTATAAAGACTCACATGTTCAGTCAGTCCTATACTGTGAATTGTTAACCTAATGTTTGCCTTAGTCAGTGAATTTAAGAAATCCATGAGGAATTTCAGTGGCTGCTTAGTGGCTTTTGGTATGTTAGTATATTCAATTCTATATTGAAATTATTATACAAAAATTTCCAGGTTACACAATGTTCATAAAGTTGGCTGAAAAAACAGTCTTGCTTGCTAGCTTTACAAAAAGAGATCATGTGATGTGGAATTAAATGCTATCTACCAGGCTGAGACTGTGGCCACAGTAATTGCCTACATTAAATGGTCTGTGTACAACATTAAAAAAAAAAAAAACCTTCTGTGTTCATAGTCATTTTAGAGTTTAAACAGCACAGAAGTAATTTTCATGTTTCTTTAATTGGTATCATTTTTAATTGGGATTTTGAGGATGTCACAGGTAAAGTTTTCACTGAGGGCAAAGAGTACCAGAGGTCTGCTAATTATGACAATGGTAAATGCCTTAAATACCCAACTGTGTTCCAATTAGGGCGTTCAACTCTCAGCCTAATGCTCACACCATAACCACCTTTAGTGGAGGGCATCTTTTCATTTTTTTTCTCTAAACACTGCGTCACACCATTCGCATGTATACCGTTCTCTTCTCGTACAGCCTTTCTTGAGCATAGTTTTCTTTTTGAAAAGCAAAATTGCTACTTGAGTTGAAGCTGATATTCACCTGTAAGTCGAGTTCAGCTCCAAACCCACTTCCCTTCTCTTGTGGTTCTCTCGCCCATAGTCACAAGTTCCCTGGCTATAAAAAATTGCCCTCGGCGTGCACACAACTAAATACAAGTGTTGATTTATTTAGTATGGTGCAATATTGATATTATCGCAAGTGGCACAATATTCATGTGCTGTGTTGCCTTTTTAAAATTAGATTTACTCACATTACAAGGAGATTAACTCAGGTGAGTCAAAGGTTGAAAATAAAAATCTTTTCTGGCACAAACTATAACCTTGTAACTCTATAATCAAAAGTGTTCACCCAACGCACAGCTTTAGTTAACTATACAAAACAGTAAACCGGTAAATGACTGACAAACATAAATCTAAAATGTTCAGACAGCTCTTTAAGTTTTGTTGTGACATGCTCATAACATTTGTTCTCCTCTTGATGAAATAAACAGACGGTTTAAAAATAAAAGTGTTCTTGCAGCAGTAAGCCCTGGCTGTGCAGCTGCTTCCTACATGTCTGTGTCACAGAGTTATGTGTGTTATGTACTGTATATGCTTCAGTAGACAACTTATGTAACATGCTGGTCTAAATACCATAACTGATGCAGTGTGGCTACACTTTACATTCTGGACAAATATTATAAAAATGAAAAAGAAAATGTAACTGTGTCGTAATTGCAACCAAAAAATAAGAATTAAAAATGCTTGAATTATACATATTTGACTGTAACTCTCACATTTGACTAAGCATTGTAGACACATGAGCCCATGCTGCATGCACACTGTGCTTTAAGCTGTTTAATCAGCTATTGTTTAATATGGTTACACAGAGATGAATCCAGCCTTCTGCCATTTACAGTACCCGGATGAGAAATACTGTATACTTTGGCTTATGTACAGCAACTTGTGTGTGTTAGAGGGTGTGTGTGTGTGTGTATTAATACCCATGTGTGATTATCGGAAAGCGTAGTCCCCCCCAGGGAAGAAATATCCTAAATGACGAGCAACCAAATGTCAACTATCCTTATCCTCATGTTCTTAATGCATTATGTATGAGGCTGTCACTCTCAGCTTAGACTATAAGGACAACATGAACATGATTTTGCACACATACACCAGCACACTAGCAAATGCATAAATAAAAACACATATACACACACACACACACACACACACACACACACACTGTGTGCTAAATTCCATCACATTTACACACTCAGTTATATTGGTAATTTAATAGGTTGTGTTCATACTTGCCAGATGTCTGTCTCTGTTCCTCTTTAAATATGGTGCTGTAATCTCCCAGACTTAGGAAGCTACAATACAATAACTATATTACTGTGTTTCATATAGCGTGTGTCATATATTGTCTATATGTGATTATTAAAATGTGCCTACACTAATGTTAGGCAAACACATTTAAGTTGGCAAGCTGAATAGACATATCCAACAACCTAGCCAGCAAGTATAATAAAATCAACACACTGTTGGATTTAGAACTGATTATCATGTCTTTACAGCTGGAGCATGTAGCATCCTGTTAGTATGTGTCTTTTGTCTGGTTTTCAGTTCTCTTCTATCTGTAAATCCATATCCATGCACACAAACAGAAATACTCTCTCTCTCACACGCACATGGATATATTTAAATATTTACTACTTTGCCATCTTCAAAGAAAAGCAAGTCCAATCACTCAAGTAAAATCAATTTGCAACAGCAGCAAATTTGTTCCCAAGATGCATCCATGGCAACAAAAATGGGAAGTACCCATTTGTTGTCTTTCATAATCCTCCCTCCAGTCATTCAGAATAAAGCATCAGCAACACCTATGCAAGATTAAATATATAAAACCAAGAATACCAGATTCAGGTGGAGAAACTCTGTGCACTGCAAACTCCCACATGTGTTATGCACACAGGCTTAAACTTCGAGGTGATTCATTTAGGATTCACTATGGATTCTGACAAGCAGTTAGTAGAACAGTCCACATACCTTACAGTGTCGCCTCTTCATCTCTCACATTCTTTTCCTCTGAAAGATTACATTACATCTCTGTGCTATTCTCCCTCTTGCCATTCCCTTTTCATGTCTGACACAGATCCAAATCCCCAGTACCACCCCACACCTTCTATCAACCTATAACCACCTCATTTGTGTCAGGTCTGAGGGTGACACACTCTGAATTCTTTAAAAAATGTAGTAATATGATGCTCACCAGTTTTAGATAAAGAACCAGAATTTGAAAATAACCCAACTGTTGAAAAACTCACACTGCAGCAGACATGTTCCACCAATATACAAATAACTCTGTATTGTACCTGCTGATATGAATGAACCTCCTACCTGTTTGCACCTCCAGTCTGTGCACTGGACATCCTACTGGCACAAAACAGTCATCCACACATGTATTTTTCTACAAGGGAAAAATGCATTTCAAGGTCAGGAAAAACAGCTTCCACTGGCTGTTCCACTCACATGAATAGGGTTTTAAAAGACTACAACGTTTGGAAAAAACATGACTGCCTGTGTCCGATATGCTAAAAATACTCGTTTTTATGCTATAAAATATACGTTGAAAATTACAAAGATGTACTGTATAATGTATAAGGCAGGATCCTTTTGGTGTATGACATCAACAGCTTATCAGCAAACAAAACCTTTCTACAAAACCCTGACATCAGGGTTTTGTAGAAAATTACTCATAAAAAATATCCCTGCTGACCATAAATGCTCCAAAAGTTATGCAGTTTCAGGGATTACCTAGTTATTTGTACCTAATGATTTGGCATTTACCAAAGGTACTCAAGACTTCATGTTTTCCTAATCTAAAACATCCAGAACAAAAAATATAATATTAAAAAGCCTTCACACCATACCGTAAAGATAAGAGACATGAAAGTGCTACAGAGGCCTGGAGAAGTCATACGTCAGCTAAGTTTTATGATTAATTCTTGACACGAGGCAGCAAAAATTAATTAGTGTTCACAGAAAAAAGTTATAAATGTCATCATGCCAAAATTTTCCAGGAACCCATAAATTGTAGAAATTCATAGAAGTGCTAAAACCACCTGCAGCAGGGGTGTAATTTCTAGTTGTTGAAATCTGTCACTGTTGCCAAAGTATCAGAATTTTACAATTTACTTATTTAAAGAGTCTATATACTACCAAGACTACATGAAGTACTTTCTGAAAGCCTGCTAGAAGATGTGAATGCTGCTTTAAGGCCAATCCATCACTCAAACCAAAGTAGCTGATTTACACCAAGGCAACAGTGATTCTTGAGAAGCTTGGCAATAAGATAAACAGTACCCAGCAGCAGCAGTAACCCCCATGATGGCCAAGATCAAGGTAGCACAGAGAGAAGTTAGCCAACTGTCAGAACTGTAGAAAGGTGTGATGAAGAAAGGGCTGCCTAAAAATACACCAAGCCACTGGTGCCTGAGGTCTTATGATGGCCCAGGATCCAGAAACCATCACAGCGGCAGACATCAGAGAAAGTAAAAAAAAACAAACAAAAAAAACTCTTTCACAGTGTGTCTTGTGTAATGAACATTGTTTGTTGTACAAAGCTTGTGACTGATATATTCTTATGATGTTATTCTATATAGTGGAAAAACAAAAAAATACTGTAAAAATACAAGTCAGTGAATAACAGTATATTTTAGACAAGAATACAACCTCCAGTATCTCATATTAGAGACTCATATTTTACTGCCACCTTCTCTTTTGCATTTCTGTGGAAGGGTGAGTTGAACAAAATATAGCATCATTCAAGCAATGCACTTACAAATCTGTGAACCTGTGATCAGCAAAAACACTTTAGGGAGTTTAGGGATCAAGAAATACAGCACATTCATGGCACAAATGATAGTAAAGGAGGTTGTGGAGTTTGCTTTTGTGACAATGGCTTGAAGGAAAATAGAGTGCCACTCCCTCTATT